CAATTCTATTAATTTTTTTTAATAAAAGTTTGTAACTGGTTTAGTTTATGCCCATTTGTGTAACATTTCGTTATAATACAAATGCACTATGGTTGGTGTTGTGAACAGAACCCTTATGTGCTATCAGCAACTCCATGTAGCTCAAGCAGTGGATCTGCAATTTCAGCTGCAGCAAATTTGGTAGCAGTAACTCTGGGGACTGAGACTGATGGCTCAATACTTTGTCCAGCAAGTTTCAACTCTGTAGTGGGCATCAAACCAACCGTTGGTCTCACCAGCCGTGCTGGGGTGATCCCGGTAACTCCCAGACAGGACACCATTGGGTAATTATGTTAATTAATCAGCAATAAAATTGGAGTATGTGATGGATAATCAGATGTCAAAAAATATATTTTGCAAGTGTAATGTTCATTACTTGTTTCAACAATTTTTGGCAACGGTTACTGATGAATTGCGTTGTGTTTGACTGTATCAGACCCATCACAAGGACAGTGTCAGACGCGGTTGATGTTCTTGATGCAATTGTAGGCTATGACTACAACGATCAAGCAACCCGAGAGGCGTCCAAGTACATTCCGCATGGTGGCTATAAACAATTCCTTCAGAGATATGGACTCAAAGGTAAGAGATTGGGAATAGTCAGGAATCCGTTCTTCACTTCTGGCGGCGGATATCTCCAACTTCAGTCGTTTGAGAAACATTTCAAGACTCTAAGGTAAAAACATTTGCTCTTCCCAACTGCTATTCTATCAACCCGTTAGCCTTCGAGGGGCTTATTTGTGAAGAACCCTGTTGTTTTTGCAAATTGCAGGCAAGAAGGTGCTGTATTGGTAGACCATCTAGAAATAGCGAACATTGATGTTATATTGAACTTCAATTTGAGTGGGGAAGCCACAGCTTCACTGGCTGAGTTCAAACTAGCCTTGAATGCGTATTTAAAAGACCTAGAAGAATCTCCGGTTCGATCTTTAGCAGATGTAATTGCCTTCAACCTCAAGTTCTCGTGTGTGGTAAGTAAATACGTACAATATATATATATTTTGGCTCTTTACATGTGAAAAGTCATTCATCCTTACATTGCTTGGGTCATTGGTATATGTGCCATACGATGATATTTAAGTAAGGAGGAATGACTTCATATACGTATGGAGCCAATAATTTTCCTTCACCGACGTAGACTTACTCAAGCCTTTCCTCAATGGTGACCATTATGCTTTGATTGATTTTCCAGGAAATGATCAAGGAATTTGGGCAAGATATTTTTCTTGCAGCCCAAGCAACAAATGGGATAGGAAACAATGAAAAGGCAGGATTGTTGAATTTGGCAAAGCTGACAAAAGATGGATTTGAGAAATTGTTGATGGACAACAGGTTAGATGCATTGGTGACTCCTGGTTCAGATGTTTCACCCGTGCTTGCAATTGGGGGATTCCCAGGAATCAGTGTCCCTGCTGGGTTTGACAAGAAGGGTGTACCATTTGGGATAACATTTGGGGGACTGAAGGGTTCTGAGCCAAAGCTTATACAGATTGCCTATGGCTTTGAGCAAGCTACTAAAGTTAGAAAGGCTCCTACATTTCTGCCTTGAAGCTTTAGAGTTACTGTTTTCGAATCGTGAACGGTGGTGTATTGTAATATCTATAAATGAGCTAAGAGTATTCCACATTAAAGAATTTAATGAAGATATCATTTTACTAAACGGCTATTCATATGAACATAAACGGTTATGGGTAAATAATCGTGGTTACCCGCCCTCCATAACCGTTACCCATCCCTACTCTTAACTCAAGCATATTTACAGAGAGAGAATTTTGTGGCAGATTGTTTAGCCAATTGGAGCTACAATCTTGATCTGGGCTTTTATTTTCTTGAAGAATCTCCTATTTGGATTGGTGATCTCTTGTTTGATGTATTTTGGGAGTTGCTAGGAACCGCTTAGTTTGTACTTCTCAGATAGTTTAGTGTTTTTGGGGTGTTCACCCCCCCCCCCCCAACAAAACCAAATTACCAAAAACAAAAAGGTTTGCATTGCCATTGGCTGGAAAATGACTCTTTAGGTGTTATTCCTGCCCTCCAATCGACTGATTTTGATCCTCCTTGGCCTCTTCGTACGCAATGATCTATTTGTTTGGTTGCATTCGAAAGATGACTTTCTATGCCTCTGCCTCTCAGATATATCGTGAAGGAAATGTAGTTGCGGACAATTTTGCTAATATGGGCTTGTCTTCTCCGACTTTGGTATGGCATGATTCCTCTCCAATGGTGGTTCGCGCTGCTTTGTTTTCAAACTATGTTGGTTTGCTTGGCTTTTGCTTTTTAAATTAATGAGCATTTCGGCATGCAGGTTGGTCTCACTTTTTTTTTTCTTAACCTTGTGTTGTTGCTTGTTATGTTTTGCAGGTTTAGACTTTTAGGTTCGGCTTTAGAGGGGTTAGATTTCATGTCCTTCTCCTCTTTTCCTTGCATCTTTGTTGTTTTTGTTTCTAGAAGGGTAAGGTTTATGTCCCCTCTTCTTTTCATGTATTTGTTTTTTTATCCTTTTTTCTTGTATAATGAGGGGTTAAGTTTACATTCCCCTGGTGTACCCTTTTTTTTTAATATCAATAAAATTTCCCTCATACAAAAAAAAAAAAAAAAAAAAAAAAATGAAAGGCCTATGTGCGAATAGCTGAACACCATGCACAAAATATAGTTCAGCTCCAAAAACTTAGACAAGGAATTTCACTTTTAAAATGTGGCTTTTTATTTTCAAAACTAACATTTATATTTTCTTAGAAAGAACTCCATAACGGAACCAAAAGTACGAAATACTTGCAGCCTGTGGCGGATCCGTATAGGGACCCGGGGTCCCGGGACCCTTCGGAAGTCCGAAGAAATATTTGTGATCGACTTTCAGGACCTTTCAACAATTTCGGTAGGTGCAATGGAGATGTTTGTTACCTCCATGGATGTGTAGACTGTTGGATTTGTGACCAAGTGGACAACAAGACAATATAACTTTCGGCTATTAAAATATGAAAAAGGTGGACAACACCTTACCTTGTTTTGGGGAAGAAAAAAGGGAAAAGGAAACTTTGGTTTTTGGTCCTTTATGTTTTGGTGGTTGCCTTTGCAGCCGAAAGAGAGGAGAGGAGAGAGAGAAGGTGGGGTCTTTTGTTTATATTAAGGCATTTGGTTATGCCTTTGGTTGTGGGGGGAGCGGCAGATGAGAGAAACCAGGGAGAGCATTCGGCTCTCCCATTTGAATATGAGCTGCTCCTTCCCACCATTTGTAATAATCCCATTTTGTTAGTAATCACTCAATCAAAGATGTTGGTGCTACTTGTGTAGCTTTTGGGAGAGAAGGATTTTGATATGTGTTTCTTCTTCTCCATTTGTTTCTTAGTTTGAGTGAGAGCTATTGGTTGTATGTGGGATTTGGGTTTGAGAGTTAAAACTCTATTTGTAATCTCCTTTTGATATTAGTGGAATTTCCTCGCCTTCTCGGAACTGGATGTAGGCTTACGCCGAACCAGTATAAATCCTTGTGCCCTTTTTTGGATTATTTGTCTTGTCATATTTTGCCGTATTAGCTTTGGTTTCATATTTGAAGCTTCCACACAACATAGACAGCAGTGCTTATAACAAAGAAGAAGAATAGGTTTTTAATTTTTGTTTTAAAAGACCTAGTCAAATCGACAGTGTTTTTGAGCCAGGTCATTATAAAAAATTTAAAAACTAAAATATCTTTGTTTTCTCTATAGTAAACCCAAGTTAATCCTAAACTCTAGTTGTAACTCCCAATTAATAATATATATGTTACATTAATAAATTTTATCTTTGTAGAGTCACTAATTGCGTTATGTTGCTGAGGAGAATTTGTTCGTTTTATTACCTTTGAGATTAATCTTGATTTATTCAATGAACCAAATTCAGTAGAAAATAGTGATACGGAACCAAATTAGTCTAATATTTTTTTCTTTTTTTGAGCTTTTATGTTCGGATCTCCTGAGCTTGAAATCCTAAATTCGTAGCATCGAATGTCGTCGATTGATTGACACCTATATGTTGATCAAACAACTACATTCTACCGATTGATCGACTGTTACATCTCTCAACTATCCTAAGACGAAATTATTTTTGGTTTTGCAGTAGCTAATTACTTTGGCTACTCAAAATAGCTAGCAATTTGTCATACGTCCTAGAAAAGAAATGGTGACCTTTGGTCAAATAATTGGCTGTAATGTTGTTTGTATCTCTAATTTCTACCTGCAAGATCGAGATCCTTAATGTGATAATATAAGCATTTGTTTTGAAAACTACTTTGAATCTATGATTATCAAAAATTCCTAATTTTTGTGCTCAACCAACATTCCATTATAGAAAAGATGTAGAAGTGGAAAGAAACTTATACACTCTTAAAAAGGGTTGCGGGTCTGCTGTCTCAGAATGTATGTCCAGTTTGTGTCTCCTTATTTAAGTTTTCAACACGTGTCTATACACTTAATAGACCATTAACACTGTATTTATTATTATTATTTTTTTAACAAACGATATTTTAGTTGCTTGTAGAACCTATTAACGAGAGTGACAAATGAGGATTCGTGGGGATCTGCAGATCGGGGGGTGGGAGGGCTGTGCGGGTTAGGAAATAAAAAAGCTTGATTATGGAAGGGGGAGGTGTGGGAGGGTGTGGAGGTTGGAGAAAGAAAGATTGAGCAAAGGGATGGGATGAGAGGCTTGGGGGGTGCCGGTGGGGGGGAATGGGGATAAAGAGGTTGAGGATGGCAATTTTTTTTTATAGAAGAACCATCCTTTTTATTAAAGGAAAGCCTTCTTTAATTATTTTATATAAATCAAATTTAATATTATAAAATTTAATTTCATTAATTAGCATGAAAAATAATCTATTTTAAACAAGGGCAGTTTATTAATCACGTTAGTTTTACCTTAAATTAGAGTGAACTAGCTTATATAACATCATTTCTATTCCGATCTAAATAGTTTAGTAAACAAATTTAACAGAAACCTAATTTTATTTTCTCGTCAATCCATCTCCTCAAACTGATTATGAATTAGTAAACGAGCCAAATAGTATTAACATAGGTGCATGCATATCTCATTTTTAGCATTTTTTCTGCTAAATATATATGTGCATGCATGCATTCTGATTACACGTCTTTATTTTTCCCGATTATCCTAGTTAGGTAAACAAACGTGCATAATAGCAATAGCATCCCATTGAATCCCGGATTCCTTATGTTTGGATCGGCAAGAATCAGTAGGCCAACCCATCTTTTTCGTACCTGCATCAAGCATGAATTTATGGGTGGGTAATGATGGTGAGAATCTGGTGACCAATGCAATTTCAAGACATCAGTTTAATTTGTTTTTGGGTGTTTTTCCAAAGAAGGTTTATACGTACCTTGAATTTCAAGACATCAGTTTTATTTTTATTCTTACCTCTTTTGGTAATTCATGTGTGCAGTCCTTGAATTTCAATATTTTCTCCTCTGTAATTTTGACTGTTCTTTGTTTTGGTGGAAATCTCAGACACTCTAACTGGTCAAAGAGGGTGGCCCACTTGATAACTTGTTGGCCTCATCATGAAGAACTTGCACCCCAAACAGCAGGTTAATTAGGAGAGCAATTTGAACAAAAGGAATTTATCCCTTGTATCCTCTCGCATTATTTAACCCTTTGCAAGCCCAAAGATATCCCACAGAAACCCACACCGTCCTCAATTAGACATCGATTTCTTCTTCTTCGCTAAGAAAAAGAAAATGGCAAACGCAGCCGTGACTGTGATGCTCATGCTCATCATCGCCGTCGTCGCTGCAACCACCGAAGGAGCTCAAAGCACCTCCACACAACCCAAGTGGACCAACAAGCTCAAGACGAGGAAGAACTTGACGTCGTCAGAGACAGTGACCAACCTCCACTTCTACTTCCACGACACAGTCAGTGGGAAGAACCCAAGTGCCGTCCGTATAGCCCAAGCCACAGACACCAACAAGTCCCTCACCCTTTTCGGAGCTCTGCTCATGGTAGATGACCCGCTAACTGAAACGCCTGACCCGAATTCCAAGCTCGTGGGCCGGGCGCAGGGGATGTACGGGTCATCCGGGCAGCAAGAGTTTGGGCTTACTATGGCCATGTGCTTCGCGTTCTGTGATGGCATTTATGATGGGAGCTCGATTAGTATTTTCGGTAAGAACCCGGCTCTGAATCTGGTTCGGGAGATGCCGGTTGTGGCCGGAACTGGCGTTTTCCGGTTCGCCCGGGGTTATGCAATTGCCCGGACGCATTGGTTTAATATTATGGGTGATGCAATTGTTGAATACCATGTCACTGTAATTCACTAGAGCGAGCTAGCTAGTACACTTGTGATCTTTCATGTATACTTCGCTTTTCTTTGTTGGTTCAGTTAAACTTTGAATGCTGATTTCTGGTTTGCTTGATTGTTGAGCGTGATGACTATCTTCTTGGAGTCTATCTCACGAGCTAGATCTTTGTTTTAGGTGATCGGTTTACTAATTTTATTATGATATGTATGTTGTGTATTAGGCATAATGAGAGTAATTATCTCTAATAATCTTTTTCTATCTCCCTAATTTGATGCCATTTTCTTTGGGTTGGTAGCCTAAATTCTAGATTGCAAAATTGGCACCAAAGTCTACAACATCAGCACTGATATATTTCATCTTACGTGAGTGCATGCATGCTCAAGTCCTTTACTTCTCATTTAGCTTCTTTTATGGTTGCTAATATACATCAGGAACTCTAAAGGGAAATAAACATGTGCAGATACGATCCTACATTCCTATTCAAATCTCGGACTCCTAAGTCTGCGTAAGTACCGATGGTGTTACATCTAGATGTTATAATATGAGTGATTGACGAGTCTAATTAGATGTTTTATAAACATAAATGGACTATAATTTGACAGGAAAAAAAAAAAAAAGCGTGAATAGACTATAACACCATGCAGTATGACGGACACACCCTAATAAATCTTTACCAACACGAAATTATCTGTCCGGATTCATTCTTAATAAAAATAAGGAAAAAAAAAAGGGAAAATATCCATTACAAAATAATATAATGATGATTATATCGGTATGATTAAGTAGAATGAACCTATCCAAATGTTCTCCTCTAAATATTTAAGCACAAAATTTAGCTTTACCTTATTAGCTACTATTACTTTATAGGACTAACTTATTACTAGAAATTAATCAATGATAATCGATATTGGTTTGCTATATAAAACAACATCTTTGGTCCTTAACCCCATCAGTTCCTCGCACAACAAAGCAAAATAGTTAAAAACATGGAACGCGGTAGTTTGGTTCTTCGATTGGCCTTGACTCTCCTAACCGTCGCGGCCACACCAACACATTGCAGCTACCATTCCCACACACTTCCAAATGTCCATCACGAAGAAAAGGTCACGCGCCTCCACTTCTACCTCTTCGACATCATCAGCGGCGACAAACCTAGTGCTGTAGAAGTCGCACGTCCAAACAGCACGAAGAATGACAGTTCTCCCACGCCGTTCGGCAGCGTGTGGGCCATCGACGACCGTCTACGAGAGGGCCCTGAGGCCACTTCCAAAGTTATTGGGAACGCTCAAGGGCTCTACGTGTCGTCAGTCCAGGACGAGACCAAGCTGGGGCTTGTAATGTACGTTGATTTTGGTTTTACTGAGGGTAAGTTTAAGGGGAGCTCATTCAGCGTGTTTTCGAGAAATCCGGTGACAGAGACGAATCGGGAGTTGGCCGTTGTGGGAGGGAGAGGGAGGTTTAGAATGGCGAGAGGGTTTGCGAAGCTGAAAGCTAGTTATTTAAATGTTACCAATGGTGATGCCATTATTGAGTATATGGTCACTCTCATCCACTATTGAATATTGAGCAATATTGATTGATTCATGGTTATAATATCGTGCAACTGTAATGACGGTGGCTTTAATGGAATAATTAAATTAAAATAAATCTGTTTATATTCAATTTTTTTACCGATGTATAAATAGCAGAATACCATGTACAAAATAGCTCTTACTCCAAAAATTGGAGTCAAGTCTACCATTATATTTGGACAACATACGGTAACATTTCGTAACTAATATTAATCCATTAAAGTTATCATTTGTAAAAATTAGAATGCCCCGCATCTTTTTTATAGTTGTTAAATTAAACATTCATCCCTTTTAAAGATTTGATTAAGGTGCTTTGATCAATTGTCACCTCAATAATTTTCTATTTATTTAATTTTCATATCATTAATTTAAATGCATTTATATAGAGGCATAAGATAACTTAGCAACTAATTGCCTGCAATATAGGAATTTAATTTCGTCAATCCCCTTCTACACATTAAATGACATTTTTTAATAAAATAAAACAAAAAATTAATTAACTAATTCCTCATTACCTTATTCTTAGTATAAAAAAAAATTTCTCTTTATATTAAAAATGTCTCAATAAAAAGTCTTCAATATATATTTTTTCACGTATAGATATATAAAAAATAAACTTAAAACTTATGGTACATTTGAAAACAAAAGTATCGACTTTTGATACGTTTAGATTTCAAATATATATTGAAGACTTTTGTTTTCAATATGTACCATAAAACCAAATGTACAAAAATTCATATGTACCATAAAACCAAATGTACCCATTGTTATGTAACCCTTTTGGTACGTTTATATTTCAAATGTACAGATAAACCAAATGTGCCCATTGTCAGGTAACCCTTTTGGTACGTTTAGATTCCAAATGTACCAAAAGACCAAATGAACAAAAAATCACAAATGTACCACAAAACCAAATGTCTCTGATAACCCTTTTGGTACATTTACATTCCAAATGTATCATGAAATACAAAAAATCAAATCCACCATAAAACTAAATGTTCCATATTATAGGTAACTAGATGTAGCTATATAATCAAATAAATCTTTATTATGTGTTGGGTCTTCTAAATAATAAAATCTGACAATTTTTTTTTTATAAATATTCTACTATATTCACAGAAAAAACAAAAAAAGTAAAATTATAACAAACAATAAAAAAATGCATAGAGATGGATAATAAATGCATAAATATAGTGATAAGAGGAAAAGAAAAAAAAAACGAAATGTCTAGGAAAAGTCGTGAAAAACTAAAATTCTAAACAAAATAAACTTATGTGAAAAACTGAAATTAATAACCAAAATTTTAGGAAAATGCTTGATCAAATTTTCAAAGGGAGTATATGTTTAGTCTAAAAAAATTAAAAAACGAGGCGCCTATATCAAAACGCATCAAAAAAAAAAATATATATATATATGTATGTATGTGTGTGTGTGTGTGTGTGTGTGTGTGTGTGTATTTTTCTAGGCGGAATAATTACTGTGAAATGTGAATCCTGATCGACCAGAGATTTTTTGTCGTTCGATCGGCTGCTATACCAACATTCAAATTGCAAAATCATTCATATGTATGTTTTCGGTGTTGGAAAATTTAATAATATTATTATTATATTAAATTTATTAATTGAATGAAAATTAGAAGTGAAACCTTTTTGGTACAAAGATGTGTTTATTCAAACAAAGAGTTGCAACTTTTGACTTTTCATGAATAATCACATTTTTTCCAAAGAGGTATCTCAAATTCTATAAATAGGAAAGCCCCTATAATCATTAAATAACTTTTCATTGTTTACATAATTAATCATACATAGAGTGCCCTAAATATTATAGAGTCTTATTGAGTCCATATTAGAGAGTTTTCAACACAATCGTGGTTTATGGAGCCTTGTGATTTGGAGTGCTACTATTACAAGGACGTGGTCATTGTATCTTGGGAGACAAGCGCCGATCAACCATGAGCACCGTAGTGGGGTGTAAACTTGTCTCAAGATTGTTAGAAAAAATTGGGTCTAATACTATCCCATTAAGAGTATCATGTAGCTTACTCTCTAGTCAGCTAGGTTGGGTTGCTATTATGGCTATTCTTAAGACGTAGGCTTTTAACTCATTCTCCTCGATGATACAACTTACTCTCTAGTCAAACCTTTAATTAATTGGATCCATTAGGTTGGTGACTATCACTTATGGTGTAGACTTCCATTTATGAAATTATATTTCATTCGAGAGTAGTTGTTTTCCAACGTAATTCCTCCAAACATGTGTTCGGACTTGATAAGTAATTTGCCAACACTTGAGTAAACTCCCCCACATTTCAGGTATTTGTAAGAAGGTCTCCAACCTTGACATACTTAAACAATTACTCATTACAAGTTTATGGTTTGATTGCTATGTTTGTTTGAGAACAATATTCTCTCATGTCTGTTTTGGCATGCATTTTCTTTTTCATGATAGAATCTTTTGGTTTCTAGTTTTGCATAAAGAAGTACATATGTTAACTGCTTCCAAATGTACTGCAAGTTAATTTGATTCAAAAGATGCCAACTTGTGACCTTTCACCATTATTTTGTTCGTTTTGTCTTCTGCCTTGTGTAAATGGTATGGTTATAGTTAATTGAACTAAATAACCGTTATAAGTTTATTGGTTTATTTGCTATATTTGATTAACAAAGGTTGGTTTGAGAAACTGAATTTATTTCTTTGTAGCAATCATTCATATGTATATATATTCTATTTAATAGTTACGCATAAGGGCTTATGTATTGATTGAAAAGTTGCATCGTTTTAGTTGCATGCATGTCACCATTTATTTGACAATTTTGCTATATATAATACTGATAGCATAATTGTCTTCTTTTAAGAATTGAATGTTTCTTGGCATACATATTGTGAGTTTATTCTCGTTAGTTTCTGATTTACGTGGTCGTTGTTTCTTGTATATTTTCATTGGCAATTATAACTATGTGGAGGCGTATTTTCTTTTAGTGGAATGAAACCAAGAAAAATTATAACTTATTACAATATAAAGTTTATTCCATACATAACTGAAATATTATTTATTTACTTATTTATCCTTAATGAATGTAGTATTTTCTAAATAGGGTTCTTTGGGCGATAAATATTTTTTCCTTACATGTTTTTATCCTCATTGAAAATTATAATTATTTAAAGACGTGTTTCCTTAAGATATGATCCAGAAAAACCAATATATAACCGGTTCCAAGTTAGGACTGAAATTTTTATGAATTTAAGAAGCTTATTCTATTATAAGAATTGTCCTTATACATTGTGGGCCAATCATCTACCTCCGTGAATAAAAGTAGTATTACTTTAAAGAGGTTTTAGTGTAAAAGCATGAGGACGAAAGGGGGAGACGTGTGGGAGAGCTGTGGAGGTAGGAGAAAGAGAAAATTGAGCAAATGGATGGGATGAGAGGTTGGGAGAGAGATCGGGAGGAAGGGGTTGAGTTTTATCAAAGGGAACCTCCTTGAATTATTTTTTACAGACAAATTTTATTATATAAAATTAAACTTCATTAATTAGCATGAAAAATTATTTATTTTAAATGAGAGCAGTTTAGTAATAAAGTTAGTTTTAATTTCGATTCAAGTGAATTAATAAGCAATTTGTATAACATTTTTTGTACTCCGATTTTAAAAAAGTGTAGTAAACAACTTTAAAAAGAATTTAATTTTGTTTCCCCCTCAATCTGATTACGGATTACTAAACAAGTCAAATTAGTAATTGATGTATATATATGACGGATGTAGTTATCATTTATTTTATGTAGTGTGGCAGATGTAGATGACATTCATTTCAAATTGATGTATATATATATCGGCTATTATTTTACATTGGCGGATATTATGTTTGTTATAGTGGATAATTATTAGTTTTGGATTTTTATTTTTATTCAAAACATAATTTTAGTTTGGGAATTGTTATTAGTATTTCAAAAATCTCATTATACACTTCTCATAAGTGTATTTTTTTTCTAATTATAGAAAATTTTGAATGTTAAATGAGATTTTTGAAATACTAATAATAATTCTTTTTTAATTTTTATATTTATTTTTTATTATTAAGTGTTTTGGTGGCAGTATATATGACAGATTTTTATGTTCGATACGGACGACATGGTTGTTTCTGTATGGGCGGGATTACTTAGCCATTAATGTCACCTGCATCAGACGGGATTGCTCAGCCATTACTGTCATTTGCGGCCGACACGAAATGTCTTCTAATTGCTCTTATTTTAATTTAATGTAGTTTCCTTTTTCTTGGCAGATTAAGAGTACTATCTGACATGGAAAGCCTTTTTGCGATGATAGCATTCCTATGGCTTCTCTTAAACAGACATAACATTCATTTTTTGTAGAATTTTACATGATATTTGATAGAAATAAGTTTTTTCATGTTATTTTTGAAACGTCAATAATATTTTGTTATGTAGTTGTGAAATTTCTTTTCAGCATATATATTCTGGTAAATATATATGGGTGCGTGCGTTCTGATTATATGTCTTTCTTTTTCCTGATTATCCTATTTAGGTAAACAAACGTGCATATATAGCACATCCCATTGAATCCCGGATCCATTGTTTGGGTCGGCAAGAATCAGAGGCCAACCAAGCTTTTTGGTACATGGAGCAATGAATGGAGTGGTTCGGTGGGTAATGGTGACCAATGCAATTTCAAGACATCAGTTTAATTTGTTTTTGGTGTTTTTCCAAAGAAGGTATACCTTTCTGTTTTGGATGGCAAAGTTAATTAATTTATGTTTAATTTGATACGACTTTTATACTGGCCGTTTTTTTTTTCTTTTTCTCCTTTAGTAATTCGTGTGTGCAGTCCTTGAATTTCAATATTTTCTCCTTTTTGATTTAAGTCTAAACACCCAAAGTCCCTCTTAAAATGATTACTTTTTTTTTTTTATGTTTTTTTTTTTTGGAGAGATTCAATAAGGAGTAGTTTCAAATTATTGTATTCAGTGAGTAATTTCAAGTTATTGTATCTAGTTGACTACTCTGCTACCTTTTTTTTCTTTTTTCTTTTTATTTATACAAATGGTATTTTTTATTTTTGAGTATAATGATATGTTTTATACTAAGGAAATCGAGAGTTTGGTTAAGCCACACAATGGACAATACCTGATTTAGTATCTAATTCGTCATCTACAAGATTCAAACTTAAGACCTCTCACTTACAAGTGAAGATGAATACTACCAGATCTCTTATTGAGTGAAGAAGAAGAAAAATCATATTTCAGATCATGGATGAAAAGAATAAATGTTGTTAATTACTTTAGTTAGTGTTTGTTATTCTTGATAACACAAAAAATGGCCAGCTTTAAGATTTGAAATTGCAACGTAACGTAATATTTATAAACGTCGCCGATGAAATTACAAAATCTGTCCAAATTATAAGGTCCAAGTCCAACCGTCCAAGATTGTGATTTTGACTTTTCTTTGTTTCGGTGGAAATCTCAGACACACTAACTGGTCAAAGAAGGTGGCCCACTTGACAACTAGGTGGCCCCATCATGAAGAACTTGTACCTTTTGAACAAAAAAAACCAAAGAAAAAAGAACTTGCACTTCAAACAGTAGGTTAGGAGAGCAATTGTGCAAAAGGAATTTTATCTTCTCCTAGCGTTTTTATTTGATAATACAATAATGTAAAGTATATTTACACAATATTGTATTACTGAATTATAATGCGTCGTAATAACCAACCAGTGTCAAATTTTTATTTTAAAAAGATTTTTTAGTGGATCCGATACATAAATACATACGTCATATATCTTTATATAAATAGAGCACTTTCAAAAAATAATTTTTTTATACTTGTATATTAACATGACATATAATTCGATGTTGAGAAGATATTGAAGGAAGGGTATCCTCGGATCCCTTTTACCAAATTCATCCAATCACTAAATTCGGGCCATTGAAATTTGATTTAACGGCTAAAATTATTATAACTTTTAAAGGAATATCTTATTTGTAGCCGTTTGATCAAATTTCAAATGTCTGAATTGATTGTTAAAGTGAATTTGATGTAAGTAAACTGTCTCTTTTCCTGGGCCCCACTTATTATCTCCTTAGGATTTCATGTGGTTGCTTACCTGCCCTTGAGTCCTCTCGCATTATTTAACCTTCTGCAAAACCCAACGATATCCCACACAAACCCAACAACTTCCTCAATTGGACATCGACTTCTTCTTCGCTAGAAAAAGAAAAAAAAAATGGCAAACGCAGCCGTAACTGTGATGCTCATGCTCATCATGGCCGTCGTCGCTGCAACCACCGAAGGAGCTCAGAGCAGCTCCACACAACCCAATTGGGCCAAGAAGCTCAAGACAAGGAAGAAAACGAGGTCGGAGACAGTGACCAACCTCCAATTCTACTTCCACGACACAGTCAGTGGGAAGAACCCAAGTGCCGTCCGTGTGGCGCAAGCCCCAGAGACCGAGAAGTCCCTCACCCTTTTCGGAGCTCTGCTCATGGCAGACGACCCACTAACCGAAACGCCTGACCCGAAGTCCAAGATCGTGGGCCGGGCGCAGGGGATGTACGGGTCATCCGGGCAGCAAGAGTTTGGGCTTACTATGGCCATGTGCTTCGCGTTCTGTGATGGCATGTACAATGGGAGCTCGATCAGTATTTTTGGTAAGAACTCGGCTTTGAATCCGGTTCGGGAGATGCCGGTAGTGGCCGGAACCGGCGTTTTCCGGTTGGCGCGGGGTTATGCAATTGCCAAGACGCATTGGTTTAATACTATGGGTGATGCAATTGTTGGATACAATGTCACTCTAATTCACTAGAGCTAGCTAGCTAGTACACTTATGAGATCTTTCATATATATATATATATATATATATATATATATATATTCATATATAGTTTGCTTTTCTTTTCTTTGTTGTTTCAATTAAACTTTGAATTACTAGTTTCTGGTTTGCTTGATTGTTGAGCGTGGTATGTTCTGGCAGTTTTAGTGCATCTTATGAGATCTTGGTTTCTCCTCGTTACCATTTGGTTTTAGGTGATCGGTTTACTGATTTTATTATGTATGTTGTGTATTAGACATAATAAGAGTAATTATCTCTAAAATCTTTTTTCTGTCTCCCTAGTTTGATGCCATTTTATTTGGGTTGGTAGCCTAAATTCTAGATTGCAAAATTGGCACCAAAATCTACAACACCAGCGAGCTTATATCATTTAAACAACAATAATTATGTTTACACACAAGACATACCTCATAATTGAAATCGCTTAGATGTGAGTTGTGCGTATCTGTATTGAAGAGTGTATTAGTAACGAGGTCAATTTTAAATAATTGAGCTTTCCTGTAATAACGACACTCCTTTAGAAAGTTTCATCAGTTAAATACAACAATGATTGAAATAGTTTTCTGATGTCTTCATGGTCATATGTGATTGAAATATTTTGTAGCATAAAATTTGTACAAAAATATCTAATCATTTGTTGTCAACAAATTCTCCTAATGTAGCCCCACACGTTTTCCAGTTAATTCTTTCCACATCTTACTCGAGTAATAGGGAATAAGCCATTTTCCCGAAATATTCAACCTTTTCCTGCGACATTGAGATTGAATGGACATTACTCAAAACATTGTAATAAAAAATATAAAAAATCATAGCTAGATATTTGGTTATAATTTTAGCTTTACTGTCTCTTTCATTTGCTATCACAAGAAATAAAGGGAAGGTGATGATTTGTCCATGCAAAAAGAGACATCTTTTTGTTCTTTTTTGCCTCGTTTATTTATGGCATTCATAGATTCTTTGTAAGATATGCCGTCCCCTTATGCAGATATTTTTTTTTAGTACCACAATATATTTTATACTAAAGAAAAATGATAGTTCAGTTAAGTCATACAATGAATAATTTAATTACAGAGATATTTTTATGTAATAGAAATATAAGTCGATTTACCCTATATTATAATATAAGTAGAAATAAAATATGTCACTTTCAATCAATTTGTCTAAAGTAAATTTACTAACGTGTTATAAGACGTGATATACTGGTTTGTGTTTTAAACACATTAAAAAAATTAATCTCTTCTCGTGATGACATCTTTATTTCACTTTCAATCAATTTGTCTAAAAGTAAATATATATCGCATGGTATGGTCCCATAGATTAGGATTATAAAATATGTTTGTAGTATTAATAGTTTTGATTAATCTTTGAAAAGAAACATAATAAATGGTTTGTCTCCAAGTTGTTTCTCAAAAAGTACTTTTTGCTATAAATTAGGGTTAATTTGGAAATATTATTTAAATGATTGAAAATTTTTTTGGTAGAATTGATTTTGGATTTCAAAAGTATTTCAAGTACTTTTTAGAAGAAGCACAAGATTTGTGCTTTTTACAAGAAGAACTTCAAGTACTTTTTCAATATTCATATGAATGTTTACTAAGGATTGATTTAAAAATTATTTTCACCAAAAATGCTTTTCGACATTATAAAAACACTTTTAAATGAAGCCTTAATTGCTGGTAGATGCACTAGCAAGAAAGTACTAAAATTTTTCTTATAATTTTCTTCTTGAAATTGTAAGAAACGTTTTTTTTACTATATATCTCAAAGCCCTTATAAGAATTTTAAAAAGGCCTAATTGGATTATTACTAACCGTAGTGATACGATAATTGGAAGATAGTTCATGAGGTAAAAAAAAAAAAAAAAAAAAAAAAAAAAAGCAAAAAAGAAAAGGATTTAAGCTCCCCTGTGACGAAGTTTGTTAGAATTTATGCCCAAGATTGAAATTTTCATTGATTCTCCATTAATTATTAGCATGTGAGCCAAACATATTAGGCCAAAACAGAACTCTCCCTTAATTGTACATGTGAGGCTAACTTTATCATTTTAGGCGCACATATGAGCCTTACGTGCAAACAATTAATGGAGGGTTGACGAAATTTACAATTTTTGGCATAAATCCTAACAGATTTCAGCACAGAAGCTTAAATCCTAATTTTTTTATCACATGAGCTGTCTTCCAACTATCCTATCACCACATACACTATTAATCCAATTAAGCATTTTAAAAATATTGTCAAACAAGTGTTTTTCAATTGTTGTACACATTTCTCTCACAAAGCGCATCACATTGAAAGACTAGCATGTTACCAATTCCGAGGAGTTGAATGTGAGAGAAGTTGTATAGAGTTTCTAGTTAACAAGTTTACTATGCAGAAGTTTGAATCGTATATTTGAGATGCTCTAACTTGTTTTGTAAGAATATAAATAGAATATTAAAAACTTTGAACAACTTTTAAATAAAAATTTCTCGTTTTAATATCTTATCAACCTCTCAATGGTCAAGGCTATAAAGCACATGAAAGGGTGAGAAGATAATTTAGTCTCAACTCAAGATAACAAAATGAAGATTGTCAAAATATACTATCGACAACAAGTAAATCAAGTATTTTATTTATGCTATCCTTATAATCCCACTCCATTAAACAAAAAGACGCAAAAAAATCAAAAGCAATTTGGTAAACACGTACTAATTAACTGCATGCTAGGATCATAGCTTCAATTCTTTTTTATACAAAAAATGCGTTGGATTATATTGATGAGCCAAAGTATTAATTATTATGGTTACCTCTCTTAGGACGGGACCAAATGCTTTCTTTATGAGCATTATTTTCCTATACCCATGAAATAGGGAACAGATCAGTAGAACGTGCATTTAATTCTGCTAATTGAAATTTTGTGACAAAAAACTATATAAAAAAAAATGTATAGCTAATGGATTCTAAATTGATCATCCAATTACAGGTAGACGTGCGCATAGACATATAGGATAGTGTAAATGTGTCTATATTAATCCGCTTTTCCGCCATTTAGCTTCAAAGTTGGGCTTATTGTCTAGAAATTGAATGGGAAAATTGTATCTCTGCCATTGAATCAATACAAGGCTATATACAATACATAGATGACTTAAGATCCTAGAATTTGAATGGGAAATTTGGGCTTAGTGAACACGAGAAATATTGCCCTAGCATTGCTGCGAGATTAGAAATCTTATGAAAAAAATGTTTCAAAGCTATAATATATTGTTACAGAATGTTAATGTTATCTATACCAAAAGATGTTTGGACTTATTGAATTTTTACATGAAGATCATAAATTGGATGAATGAAGCTCTTGAAATTCTTTAAACCACTCTGAATAGCATTACCTGTGAATGATTGATTGTGTAACAAAAATTTGTAAAAGAGTATAATAGACGAAGCTTTCATATGTATAATTCAAACTTCTACACATTTATTCATACTTTACAAATTGTTAGAAACTGCTAAGATAACAATTGGTATCACATAATTGGTATGCTATTAAACATAATGAATTCCATGAAGCAAAAAAAAAAATGATATGCAATTTTAACTTACGATGCTAAAGAAGCTCTATAAGAGTAGCTGGGTCCTCTATGTTTTATCTATCAAAGGCATTGCAACTGTAGATCTTGGAAACTATAAAAATCCATACAGTCAAGAGACAAAATTCAATAGTTATGGGTAAAGTCAACATGGAACCACGAATGTACGATATACTTGACAAATTTGCAAATTCATTACAATTTCAATTGAATTTGCAACTTGATTTTCTCGCTTAAAATCTTAATCTACAAAACCAAATTAGTTTTATCAAACAACATTCAAAAATAAAATCCAGTAAAGGAAAAGATCAATTGAAAAACCTAAATAAGTGGAAGCATTCATACCTCAATTTAATTTCCAGCTAAATTTTGTTGCTTAAAAATTATGGTCTGCAAAACCAAATCAGTTTTATCAACAATAAAGTATCAGTTTATGAAAGGAAAGATAAGACTTAAAAAGAACATTAAAACTGGAAACCAAGTCGTGATACTTAACCATTTGACATAGAAATGTTATCTTGCCTCCATACACTGATAATTTGACATTCAATACGGAAAAATTAATCATGACAATTCCTCTCTTTTTAAATTTTCAGGGAAAAATTGAACCACAAACAATAAAAAAACCGAAATAAAAAATAAATTTAACAGCAAAGAGATAAAGTATATACCTGACCCAAAAATGGCTTGCAAGCTCCAGAATAAAACCCTAAAAGACACCAAAATCTAAAATATATATAATTCCCACATATTCGACTTTCACACTATAGAAAACACAACTTCACAATATTAAAATAAAATAAAATAAAATTTGTTGCATAAAATGCTAAAAGGAAAAAACTGAAATTATTTACCTTAAGCATAAACGGCTTCGAAGCTACACATAGAAGCCCCAAAAAGCAAAGAGCAAAGTGTCCTGAAACAAAAAAAGATGCAAATCATACAACCATACAACAGGTCCAAGGATAAAACAAAACACCAAAAATTACAAAAACTAAATTCCAAAAAATATAGAGCAACATGTTCTGAAACGAAAATAAATCATACACCTAGACATCAGATCTAACGATATAAAGAAAACACCCAGAATTAGAAGAAAAAAAAATTCATACAAAAATCCCACTTGAACTACAAAATAAAATAAAATAAAATAAAACAACAATACTATAAAGGTTAAAAAAACTCACCACCAAACAGAGGTGGACCTTGGTGGTAACAAATCCACCCTGATAAAATCGAAAAACCAACAAAATCAGTAATGCCCAGGGATTTTAAACGCAAGATGCAGCAATTATTTATTTTTCCAAGGGTTTTAAACGCAAGAAATTTGCACAGATGATTTGGCTGAGAAAGATGAGAAGATCGGAAACCAAAGGTTGAGAAAAGAAAAGAAAATGGAAACTGAAGGAGATTTGGAGAGATGCAATTGAAGAAAACTTATCCACAATGATCGACGCGTGGCAAAACAGTGGAGAACGCATGGGAAGGCTGTGTAAAAGAAGAAAAGCAACGGGCAAGCTGGCATCAAACAGGGTCAAACATGTGGGGTAGAAAAGCACTAAACCGGCTTCTCATACCTTTTATGTTAAAACTTGCTCTACGTCTTCTACGATTGTACCGAGAGAGATACCAAATGTCACATCCCGGCCCGGGCCCCCACCATATCCCGGGCTCGACTCCACCGTAGCACGATATTG